CGCCCAACAGCGGCGCGTACCTCAACGAGTGCGACCCGTACGACCCCAACTGGCAGTACGACTTCTTCGGGGAGAACTATGCCCGGCTGCGCGCGATCAAGGCCAAGTACGATCCGAATGGGTCACTGTGGTGCATTTCGTGCGTGGGAAGCGAGGACTGGGTGGAGGTGGAGAAGCAGAGTGGCCGGCTGTGCCAAGCTGAGTGGGCGCAATGATGAGCGTATATTCTTTCGTGGCCTCAAATGCGAGGGCAGTGTCACGTAATAGCTTAGCTGCCAGCAAGTATTTTCCTGCGGAGGTATGGAGCCCGTCCACCCGCCCAAAGGTTTCTACCAACCTCTATTACGTCCTCTAATATAATTCATACCAATTGTTCTTATGTATATTTGTGTCCTGAGTAGACAGTTGGGAATGATATCGCGTATATTTGATTCCACATATTTACGTCCGCCGGACCCTTCCTATAGAGCTTAGCCAAGAGATAATTGGCCTACGGAGACGCTTTTTTGCGGTACATATTGGGGATGGAGCAACTTGTCTGAAGAATTCATGTATAACCTGCTCGGAGCTCTTGGTGCCACTATAGTTACACCATTCCGTGGAGTGCATATGGGTATCAGGAATAAATGTTCAAATATTTACATGTTCCATGAGTGCGTGCTTCGCACCCAATAATGCCAAAATTCTATATGCAACCTTTATACTTCTTCTAGTTCTATGCTGATCGAGTTCCCCTACAGGAGATTAATTTGAACGCGCCGCCACGGTCTTGCTCTTCATCAGTGGAAAGTGGCCCTTGGTTTCCTTGAATCCCATCAAAAAGAAGGAGGAGATAACCACAATCCAGTAAACATTATAGGCAATGACTGATCCGTACGTTGCTGAGTTTTGCCATCCAAGTAGGGCGTTAAATATACCCCAAGGACCTCCACCGTTCCGTTGCGGGTTACAGCACTGCAAGATGATAGTTAGATAAAGAACAAGTCATCAAGATTTTGAATGTCGACCGGCTAACTTACGTTGACGTGCCACACACTGTTGTCAATATCATATGATCCCGGACCATCACCTAGCTCCGCAGCATCTCCGCCGATCTTGTTGTTCCAGCTCTGCTGTTCGAAGAACCAGACGGCTCGCGTGAACAACCCAGCGGCAACTAGATACAGGACGCAGGTGGAAATGACCAAAAAGGCCCGGAGCTTAGCGCCGGAACCGCCTCTGTTTGCTCACATGATTAGATACGCAGAATCTTGACCATCCATGAGTCATGCACCAGCTTACTTGTAAATAAACCACCCTACGACAGAGCCGGCGGCAATGCCGGCCAGGGCGGGTAGCGGAATGGCGGAGGGCGGAGCGGAAAAGGACACGCCCGCGATGAAGACAATGGCCTCGATGCCCTCGCGGAGAACTGTCAGGAACGGCAGGAGGAACATTGCGTACTTCTCCATTAGTTGCTTGAAGCTGACGCTGCCGCCGTTGTCCATGGACTGTTCGATGGATTTGGCCAGCTTCATACGCCATTTCTCCTGCATCTTGCCGATGCGCAGTAGGGCCGCACCCATGATGGTGATGACGATGCTCGAGAACATCGCGAAGACGCCTTCATAGTAGTACTCATTTGGCTCCCAATAGTCCGTTGCGGTTGTGTAGAACAGCGCAATGATGCCGGCTGAGATAACCAGGCATATTAGCAGCCCGAGGGCGGCCCCTATCCAGACCTGAGAGCGAGACAAGATCAGCGAGAAGCTTAAAAGAAAAAAAACAAGATCGCGGCGGATCTTTTCACCACACATACCTGGTTCCGTAAGCTTCTGTACAACTCGGCCTCTTTCCCCAGAGTCTGCTTCAAGAAAGCAAGGAGCACCGAGACAATGATGCCCGTCTCAAGGGTCTCCCGAAAGACAATGAAAAATACGGGAACGGCAAATAGTTCGTCGGCCATAGCGATATAACGATCCCGCGGAGTGTTGACTGTGGGTTGAGTTGGGCCGGAAATCAGACTGGTGGTGAGGTGAGAAAGTCAAATCCGCGCGAACGCAGAGGCGGACACCTTTTTCAGCCCTCCTTTTTTCCTGGGGTTTAAACTTTCGCGACGCAGCAGTGTCCAGTCAGCAAAGGGGCCGAGCAGTTCGAAGACAGCGAATCTCTGCAACGGTCGCTGGCAATCGCGGCATACGAGTGATTATATGGAACGGTTTTCTTGGCTGTTCTCCCTCGTGACGATGGGAGTGAGCCGGGATTAGGTACCCTAGCCCTGAAACAACAAAATATGCGGGCGATGTCGGAACTAAGACATGCCCGTGTCATGCAGTGTGGATCGATCAGATAAATGATTGTGGGTTTTGGGCTCCTAGCCGCTCTTATCTGATGGCCAAGGGCTTCGCCATTGGTGCTGAGCAGGGTCAGGTGGATCAATCACAAGGAGGGCGTGTCCGATTTTGATGAAATCCGATGAAATCAGAGTGGCGCCTGCACGGAGGATCCTGCCGAAGACCTCTTGAAGGAGCAAAATCCCCATATGCGCGCGGGCTTCTCGTACAGCTGTGTTTTTTCTGGACATCGATGCACTCCCAAAAATGCCGTCCAGACTCTTCAAGGACATTCTGCTGCAGAGTGTCGTTCCGCTCGCGTGGCTGCTGAGCCTCGCCAGCGCCGCCACCGTCGTCCATGATTTCAATATCGAATGGGTCACGGCCAATCCCGACGGGGCCTTTGATCGCCCGACGATAGGCGTCAATGGCCACTGGCCGCTGCCTGTCATAACTGCCAACGTTGGCGACAACATCGTCATTCACGTCAAGAACAGCCTGGGCAACCAAACCACGTCGCTGCATTTCCATGGCCTCTTTATGAAGGGCACCAACTTCATGGACGGGCCTGCGCAGGTTACGCAGTGTCCCATCCCCATTGGCGGGTCGTTCACCTACAACTTCACCATTGATCAGCCGGGCACATACTGGTATCACTCGCACAGCCAGGGACAGTATCCAGATGGCCTCCGCGCTCCTCTGATCATCCACGACCCGAAATTCCCGCACAAGTTTGATGAGGAGGTGGTCCTGTCGGTATCGGATTGGTATCACGACCAGATGAGAGACTTGATTCCTGCCTTTATGCACAAGACAAATCCAACGGGTGCCGAGCCGGTTCCAGACGCCGCGCTCTTGAATGACACCCAGAATTTGCATGTTCCAGTGCAGCCAGGGAAAACCTACTTCTTCCGCATGATTAACATTGGTGCCTTTGCCGGACAGTACATCTGGTTTGAGGGACACACCATCTCCATCGTAGAGGTTGATGGTGTGTACACCGAGCCTGCAGAGGCGGACATGATATACCTCTCGGCTGGCCAACGCTGCAGCTTCCTTTTGACAACCAAGAAGGCTGCGAAGGAGAATTTTGCTATCGTGGCTAGCATGGATATGGTGAGCCCCTATTGGATTTTGAGTTGAATTCTTCAAGCAAAATGGGAACTAACAATAAGTAAGACACTCTTTGATGTCATTCCTGACGATCTGAACCCCAATGTTACAGGTTGGCTTGTTTACGATGAAACCAAGCCTAACCCCAAGCCAGCATTTGTAGATGAGCTCGAACCATTTGATGACATGGAACTCGTTCCGTTAGATCGCATGGAACTCCTGCCCGAGCCCAAGCCAGAGCGCATCATTGAACTCAACGTGATCATGGATAACCTGATGGATGGTGCCAACTATGCCTTCTTCAATAACATCACTTACAAGGCTCCCAAGACTCCGACACTCTACACAGCCTTGACCTCGGGCGAGTTGGCTACTAACCCCCTTGTCTATGGGTCGCATACCAACAGCTTCGTGCTGGAGAAGGACGAGGTCGTGCAGATCGTGCTCAACAACCTTGACTCGGGTCGGCACCCATTCCATCTTCACGGTCACCAATTCCAGACGATCTACAGATCCCCCGAGGAAGCGGGAACTTTTGCAGATTCCGGGGTGACTGAAGCAGACTTTCCCGAGATCCCAATGCGTCGGGATACTATAGTTCTCTGGCCAGAGGGAAACGTCGTTTTGCGATTTAAGGCAGATAACCCAGGTATGCACGACTGCCATCTGACAGACTAAAACTAAACGCCAGTTCTTGTGTACTCTATGCTAAACAATAGATTAGGAGTTTGGCTGTTTCACTGTCATATTGAGTGGCACGTCGAGTCCGGACTGATTGCCACTTTGATTGAAGCTCCACTGGAGCTCCAGAGAACTCAGGCTATCCCCCAAGCTCACCTCGACACGTGCAATTCGGAGAATATACCTACTACTGGCAATGCTGCTGGAAATGATGAAGATCTCCTAGACTTGACCGGGGAGAACTCCCCACCGGGACCACTACCTGCAGGGTGTGTATTCTTACCCCCACCCCCCACAACCATTTTTGCACTCACAGTGCAACATGTTATTGACAAAGAGATAGATTTACTACTCGTGGCATAATTGCTCTCGTGTTCAGCTGCGTTAGTGGCATAGTGGGAACTATAGTGGTTGCTGTCTACGGCATATACCTCGATGGCAGCGCTTCGGACGCGACAGAAGACGATGGCGATGGTGACGAGGATGAGAATGCAGCTGCCAACCCAGGTGGGGACGAAACTACACCCCTCCTGGTTACGGACGGAGAGATGCAGAGCTGATCAAGGAGCGAGCACGTGGCTTATATTTTCACTGCATATTACGGCGTTGCACATTGTCTCTACAATAATGATAGACCGGGGCTATAGCATGCATATTATCAGAAATGAATTTTTACCGTGTCTAATCATCCCAATAGAGGCGGCTGCGTAATATCTAGGGGAACAAAGACGTAAAATGTCCCAGCAGTTATACCATGCACTATCTGGTGCATTCATTGATTCAGCACAAACAATAAATAGGGCACATTGTCTTTTCCCGTGGAAAACCCACATAATTAGGGCTCTAAGCAGAGATTTTTTCCACCCAGCAGCATAACAAGCTCTGAACAACACCGGCCAATTGGCGAAATGGTATCGCGTCAGATTTCGGTCCCATCGGTTCCGATCTTTCAATCTCTGAAGATTGCAGGTTCGAATCCTGCATTGGTCGCTTTATTTTTTTATTTTTTTTTTCGTTTCTTTCTATTTTGCTCCTCGTTTCCAAACTTCTATGTCTTTTCTCTAACCTAATGATGGACAATGAATGGCAAATAAGAAAGGGCGGACTTCGTCTGCTCGTATCTAGGGTGAAGAACACATGTGAAATAGTTTAAATTATAAGTTAGTTATGGGTGATGTATCGTAGCAAAACTAGTCTATGTTATCTATTCCGCCGATGGGATAAGCTTGGTCACCAGCTTACCACGGCTCTCCCCCGTGTACAAGCGTGTCCATACTTCGGGCTGTTTCTCGAGGGGTGCCTCAACCACAGTCTCAGAGTCAGACAAATCTAGCCTACCATCGACAGCGGCAGTGATCAACTCCTGCATGCCGGCTGGTACATGCTCGAGGTAATCCAGCATGATGAAGCCCTTGATATTGATGCGCGCCGAGAAGACTTCGCACCAGTTGTGCAGCTCCATAGCCTTCCCGTCGGCGTTGTACTGGCCAACGGCGCCGCACACAGCGACGGTGCCGCGACCGAGGCGCTTCATCCGCGGCAGCATGGCGTCCAGCACGGCGCCGCCGACATTGTCGAAGTAGACATCGACCTCGTCAGGGGTGGCGGCCTTGAGGTCGTCGAGGAAGGTCGGGCTTCTGTAGTTGACGCAGGCGTGGGCACCGATCTTCTTGACCCACTCGCACTTCTCGTCGGTTCCCGCGATACCCACCACGCGCTTGACCTTGAGGATCTTGGAGGCGATCTGCACGGCCATGGAGCCCGTGGCGCCGCCGGCCGCCGAGATCACGACGGTCTGGTCCGAGTCACGCTTCACGCCGCCGGCGTAGAGGAGACCTGTGTAGGCGGTGAGGCCCGACCCGCCGAAGGCGCCCAAGTAGTGGGTCTGGGACAGGCCGTTGGGGAGCGGCGCGAGGAGCTGGCACTCTTGATCGCTCAGGACGATGTACTCGCTCCAGTTGCCGCGGTGGTAGTCGGTCACAAAGTCGCCCACCTTAATCTTGTCCGACTTGGACTCCAAGACCTCGGCGACAATGCCCGAGCGCATGCTACAACAGCACATTCTAGGTCAGCCCAGAGCGCCATCATCTAGCAAATCTAGCAATACGTCATGGTACGGCAAGGGGAGGAATGAGTTGCTTACGGAGTTCCAACGTGGACTGGCGGGACGTAGAGGCGCTCATCGGAGACCGTGCTCTGGATGAAACCGCGCTGTCCAGCGTCGTTGGAGAAGGCGTAAACCTTGCAAAGCTGATGATGACGCAAATCAGTACCTAGCTTTTGTGGAACAGTCAAATTGTCGGCCCCCCGGGGGGTAACCTGGAGCCGAACAGATCGGAATCACGTACCAGTTCTCCCTCCTTCGGCTCGGGCAAGGTGACGGTCTGTAACTTGAATGTCGCCTCGGGACCGGAGAAAACTGGCATACCCGATGGCTTATTGGCCAGAATCCATTGCTTCGTCGTGCGTGCAGCCATTTTCTCTCCCAGTTTATCTGTCATTGGATTTCTTTTCTTTCGTCACTTCTGTCTCGTTTCGACGCCGGCCGGGTAATTGCACAAAATCGTCAGTCTAGTACTCCGAAACACGGTCGTATATATATTAAAATGAAACAACTGGGGTATTGGGCAACATATCCCTCTGCGGAGGCGATACCTGTTGTCTTTATCTGTCCATGGCTTTGCTCGTCTGAGCCCACACGCTTTTAGTCACGCAAAAGCCCCCATTTCTTCAAGAGATAGATGCCAATACTCCGGTACGTACCTCCACACCTAGGATTGAGATGGGTGCGGCCCTGAGCGGACGGGGCAAGCAGCTCGTCCCCTTAGACAAGGTAGATACCACGGCTATGGGTTTCTCGGGCCGCATTGGGCTGAGTGCATAGAGCAATTACCTAACCGAGCGGGTCTAGATACGGGACTCTTGTGGGCCACTGGGTCGATTGCCCTTTAGTTTGAGGCGCACACCCACCCACCGGTGCGGACAGCAGAGTGGAGGGAGTACCGCATCTGCTAAATACTTCATGGCAATGCATGTCCTTCTGCCAGGTCAGGGACCCAGGAGCTGGGGAACGAAAATAAGCACAGCTAACAGAGGGTATGCCCATGGCCAGAGTGTCATAATATCCCGACAGTCTGGTAGACCAGGATCCGGCCAGTCGTCCCATTGGGTCCGCTAATGGTGGGCAAGCAAGAGGACAAATTGGCCGGGATGGTCCCCCGGCCCGGACCTGGAGGGTAGTGGGTACAAACCGGCACAATACCCAATCAGCACCTGGTCACGGAAGCCCATCGCACGGGCCTGGGCCTGTATTGGGTGGTAAGAGCGCAGTGCCTGTCCGAATTTGATTCTCGTACTCGCTGCAAGTCAGTGCCAATCTGTTGCCTGCAGACATCTGATCATGTTGATTCGACAGAGGCATTCACTCCGCTCTCACCCGAGCCAGCCACTCCGACTTGAACCAGGAAGCATATTTTCATTCGTCACTCATTCGCCCCATTTGGAGAGCTTTGCAGTATGTCTGGCTGCCGGTGCCAGGGGTTGAAGGGGATCGTTGTCCCTTTGAACACTTCGGCTCTTCTCAGTCTCTGGGCTCGTGGCCCAATCAGCCCATCATAGTGATTGAATGGGAGAACGCAAACATAAGAGCCCAGTAGCAGGGGGCAAATTTAAGTGAGGAGTACCTACTTGGCAATGGCAAGCCATCCGATGAAATCTGACTTTGTCGATCCCAGAGCTCGGTCCAATCTAGGGGGCGCAGCAAGACTCTAGTTATATTTTGACCTGTGTCACGCCCCGAATGCACAACTGTGGAGGAAATGCGTGGAGACTGTAGACAACATGGCTGCTGCCATCCCTTCATTCGTGGTCGTCCCGGCGAAGGGTTTTGTTAAGACTGAACTCATTGTGAACTGTGTTATTATCTTCCTCGTCTTGACAGTCGTTTCTTTGCGGGTATTCCTGCGTTTCACTGGCCCGGGACTAGGCTTGGATGATGTACTCATCATTGTTGCGGCGCCATTAGGCGTCGGCATGCTGATATGTCAAGGCTTCCTTATGCCAGTGGGCGGCGGATATGACTTGTCTGAGTATCCGGATTGTGAGTATAACCCAGGCTACGAAAGTTATGGCAGATATTGTTAGAGCGTACTGGGACTGATTCCTCGATTTCTTGACCACAGTGGCTGTTAACATACCGTTTATCCTCCTCGTACGTACCGCTGAACTCGCCGGATGCATTCTGCTCTGTCGATTCTCTATCCGGATAATGAGATGGCAGTAAATAACAAAAACTTCACTATTAGATGTCTTACATCATGGAGATCATATATGTCTTCTGTCTCGCCTCGGCCAAGGCTAGCATGCTTCTCTTCTACCGCCGCGCCTTTTTGACAACGTGGATGCAACGAGCTGTCGATACCATCCTGGTCATCCTCGCGATCTGGACCATCTGTTTCGAGTGTGCCTGTATCTTCCTGTGCAAACCAGCGTCTGCCTTCTGGACAGGTGAGGGCACGTGTGGCGATTTCATCCCGATGATTCAGGTCTTGATTGCTACCAACGCTGTGGGTGACCTCGTCGTCATGGCTCTCCCCATGTCTACCATCTGGTCTCTGCATATGCGTAAGACAGAGAAGCTTGGAATCATGTCTTGTTTTGCGTTAGGGCTCGCGTAAGTGCATAATCATAATGGTGTTCGCCAGTCTCGTGGAGTAGGGCGAAACAAGGCAAGGATAATTATCCAGTCTAACTTCAGAACTTGACCGAATTAGCTGCATCGTCATCGCTGTCTTCCGAGTCATCTATCTCGCCAAAGTAAACATGGTCGCCAACATCACGGGTACGATGCCCCCTACAGTCTTCCTTTTTGCCCTCGAGCCAAACCTCGCTATCCTCTGCGTCAGTATCCCCATGCTTCGACCCTTCTACTCCCGATACATAAGCCGCAATGCTTCGGCCCGTTTGTACGACAATAGCAAAGAACCTCCTTCGAGCGGCAAGGCGAAAAGCTTGTCTATTTCGAATCTGAAGAATGGCAGGACAAAAAAGAAGTCCAATAACAATGATACTGTCAACACTACAACATGGGAAATGGACGACTACTACAATACCGAGGCAGCCAAGGGCAACCTGCGTTCTTCGGCAGGCGTAGGCGCGAGCTTTGACCCTGATGAGACAGGAAGTGAAAAGGCATTGACCAGACACTCACAAAACATGCCAACGAATGGAATCGGCGTCGAGACGACTTGGGTAGTTACAAGGAATCAATAGGGGGTTTAAAGTGCGATATTACAACAAGACCAACTTTAGAGCTAAATTTCAAGGACGAACGACTAAAATTGGATACACAAAAAGTAAAAAATGGAGAGCACACAGGATTACCAAAAGACAGGTAGATAACACTGAAGACAAAGTTCTAGTATCCGACGATATTTTGGTCTTGCGCGCGACACTCTAATATTACCCAGTGTGAGAGAAGTCAATATTTCAAATGTTTTTCTTCTTTTTGTCATTTTAATTTAAAAAGAATTACTTATCGAATTGCACACCAAAATAATATTAGACAGGCTCGCATCGACTGGCGGGGCATACGTCCAACTCCCTATACGCGGTGGCAGACAGAATAGCCTGGAGTGTGTGATTTCAGGTGGTTTGGTTATGTAACCAATGGAACATATGACGAACACTCATCGAAGCATTATTGTTATGATTGGTATACTCAGTCCACAAAAATGCACTCTTAAGTATTGAAATACTCGTTGTGAAGAAGAGATGATGCATAGTCTGGAGAGTTTTGAAATCAACAAATGGGCCCGCGCACAGAACCATAGGGCTGCCTTCATCATAATCATAAAGTTGGTCGTGTTTATGACGTCTTCAGTCACCAGTCAAAAGTTTTCGGTCCTTCGGATTATATAAACAACATCTGTCGAGTTTCATATATGTAAATTTGTAATCTCTAGCGCAATATAAGACCTCGAGGCTGGATT